GTTAAAATGAATAGTACCGATAACTTTTCGATAAAATTCCCTATTATTAAACATTGTGTCAAATGCATGAGATGACAGAGAGTACCACTTTTGAGTCTCCTTAGCATTTTTTTTTTATTTTTACAAATCATGTTTGATTAATGTGTGGATAGATCCTGAGATCATGCATTACGAGGCCCTAAGTTTGAATCAAGGATCTGGCTCTCGGGTCTCGGGTCTCGGATCCCGGACCAATACCCTTCCCCAATCCTACGAAAAATTAACAACAAGGGCCTAGAGAAACATGAAATAAACGTCGGGCCCTCCAACTCAAAGCCCAACCCACAAAATGTCGGGGCTGGTTCGGCTTCTTTTCATAAACACGATCGTTGGCGAGCCGGCGATTCCAACCAACTGAACCAGTTGAACCGCCCCACCATTCCCAATTTCTTCCTCATACGCTGAAACCAAATTCTACTGGCTCAATTCGAACTCTCTCTCTAACTCTCAAATGTCCGAAGTTCCCAAATCCTAACGAACATCATCAGAACGACGAAGTTGATCTTAAATATCTAATGCGTTCGCCGACCGGGGAAGTTATTTTTGGAGGAGAAACTATGCGTTTCTGGGATCGACATATTCTTCGCCCAGATTCAAGCGGACCTCCGCTCCAACGACTAAAAACATAAGATCCCTTTAAAAGTTATAATAACTTTAACCGTTAGATCAAATTTCAAGGATCCGGATTACTTGATCCGGTGACTTTGGTAGAACAGATCCGGAAATAATCTCTTTCTGTGATACAATTGGTTAAATATGATATGACATATGATTTTTGTTTCGTAGATATTAGCGGGAGTTTATGAAATTATTGAGTATGAGATCGAAAATAATTATGGTTTCTACTTCACTATCTGAATTTGTTGTGAAAATAACAAAAGATTGACGGTCTTTTTTTTTCTAATTTGTGAATGAAACTTTTTCCCGAACTTCTAAATGCAGTCATTTAAAGATCCTAAAGCCTTACTTTGTCACCTATAGTGAGCCTAAAAATATCCATATAATTTGCTATGAGTGGTTTGGTAACCTTCTGGCTAGGTTCTAAAAAGTTTAAAAGGATACAAGTATTAACAAATTAAAGATATGCAATTATGCATTAGTGGTGGCGAAATGCTAGTATATTACATAAAAAATGCAGAATTGCATATTTTTATTAATACTTGTATCCTTTCAGTCTTTTCATAACCTAGAAGATGATCAAAGTCACTCAAATTATCCAAATATCCAAATAATTTTAGGGTTTAGTAGGTGACAAAGTATGACTTTCGATGACTGTGTTTAGAAGTTTGGAAAAAAGTTATTTGCGAGTATTTTATTCGTAGATTTTAAAAAATGACCTTCAATATTTTGTTATCCTCATAACGAATTTTGACAATGAAGTAGAAACAAGAATCGTCTTCGATCTCATACTCACACTGGCAGAGCCAGGTTAAGGGCTGCCATGGGCTATAGCCCAGGTGGCTTTTGGAGAAAAATAAAATTTTACATGTAATTTTGATTGATTTTCGAATGTAACCCACCATATATTTAGTCACTAATTCAAATTCTCTATGTTTAACTATATAAAATTATATAATATAGTTTACAAACCCTTTTTTTTTCTTAAATTATTTTTCTCATCGCTTTTTGTACATGTATAAGTTTGGATTTGTTTAATTTTAACACATATTTGTTTAATTACAAAATTTTTTTACTCACCTTGTAATATTTTTTTAAGCTAGCTGATACTATGAAAAATACGGTATCAAATTTCTTTATTTATAAAGATTTAAAATTTTAAGTTAGCCCATATGGTAAAAATTTTCAAACTCTGCTATTACATACTCAATTATCTCATAACATCTCACTAATATATGCGAAATAGAAATCATATATCATGGTCAACCAATTTATCATTATAAGTATGAAAAGAAAATAAAAGTATATCAAACATTAAAAAGGCAAATTCCGTATTATTTCTTCACTCATGTTTATGGGATAACTTTGTGTTCTGTTATCCCTCACTCAACCTTTTTTTGGATTTCTAACAATCTCCTTGAATCAAATATTGTAAGAACTCAATATTTTCATATTGTTAAGAAGGATTCAAACAAATACTTTGAATTTGGTGTGTGTGTGTGAGCTTTATGTGACATTCCACATCGCCCAGGGGAGTGATCCTTATATGTATATTTTCATCCCTACCTAACGCGAGGCCTTTTGGGAGCTCACTGGCTTCGGGTTCCGTAGGAACTCCGAAGTTAAGCGAGAAGGAGGCTAGAGCAATCCCATGATGGGTGACCCACTGGGAAGTTGCTCGTGAGTTCCCAAAAACAAAACCGTGAGGGAATGTTAAGCCCAAAGCGGACAATATCGTGCTACGGTGGTGGAGCGGGCCCGGGAAGTAATCCGCCCCGGGCCGGGATGTGACAAATTGGTATCAGAGTCTATCCCTGGCCGGAAATGTGCCGACGAGGACGTCGGGCCCCTAAGGGGGGTGGATTGTGACATCCCACATCGCCCAGGGGAGTGATCCTTATATGTATATTCTCATCCCTACCTAACACGAGGCCTTTTGGTAGCTCACTGGCTTCGGGTTCCGTAGGAACTCCGAAGTTAAGCGAGAAGGGGGCTAGAGCAATCCCATGATGGGTGACCCACTGGGAAGTTGCTCGTGAGTTCCCAAAAACAAAACCGTGAGGGAATGGTAAGCCCAAAGCGGACAATATCGTGCTACGGTGGTGGAGCGGGCCCGGGAAGTGATATGCCCCGGGCCGGGATGTGACATTTAGGTTGGGGGAGATTATATTCATACATACCAAATTACTTTTCTCACACTTTTTTAATTTTTTAATATTTTTTATCTAGTGTTAGTGGTGTGTAAAAAATATTAAAAACTTAAATGGGCATGGAAGAAGTAAATTGGGGTGTGTGAATATAATCTCTCTTAGGTTGGATGTAGGGTTTATATATAGAAAAAAGATAGGATGATGTTGTGCATAATGCCACGTGATGTGGTGTGATTGGTTGAAAATCTCATTGAAAATCTATTCGTAAGTATTCTGAATGGATAATGACACATGGAGCAACCGAATTGGTTAAAAATCTTATTTGAAATATATCCATAAAATTATTACCTGATCATAACACGTGATGCTATAAGATTGGTTAAAAATTTTATTGAAAATTTATCTATAAAAATCTTATAGAATCACGCCACGGTAGTGAGGTTGTACTAGCATGTGAGAGTTAATCTCCACCAAGTAAATATGAGAGATAATCTCCACCATGTAAAAATGTTGTGTGTGAGAAAAGCCAAGTAGATAGATTTTTCCTATAAAGGAAAAGCTACCCGTGTAAAACCTAAGAGAGAAAACAATGTCTCTCTCCAATATGAAAATACAAACAGGTTTGAGGGATAGCGAAGAGCACCTCTTTACCAAATTGTCAAAATATTTCTTATTCTCTTGTTGCCTAAATTCTAACAACAGCGACCTTTGGGACGATATCTGCACTGGAATCCTTACTAATCTTGATTTCTCTAACCCTCATGACAGCGCCACCGCCTCTATCCTCTCGCGCCGCCGCTTCCATCCTCGCTGTAATTTTTTTTTTAAGTGTTTTATACTGAATGGTTTTTTGAAAAATTAGAGCATAAATAGATTGAATTGTAATATTTCATTTTACTGAAATTTCTGAACTTGATAGTGAATTTGTATTATTATAAAGTTGTTTTTTTAACAATACCTTGAAAATCCCTCTTCTAAACATAGCTTAAGAAACAATTTGTGTTGTTAATCGGGTTTGTAGTTTTCCCAAATCCTTAACTTTTATAATATAGCCATCGAATTTGCAGTCTCTAAATTACTGTAGGGCTGCACTCCATTTTATATATTTCCCATATTCCTAAATACAAAAGTTAAAAGCATTAAGAACACACATGGTTCCTTAACCTATGTTTGAAAGACGGACTTTCAAAGTATGGTTAAAAAATCAACTCTATAACAATACAAATTCACTATCAAGTTCAGAACTTTCAGTAAAATGAAATATTTCAATTCAATCTATTTATGCTCTAATTTTTTCAAAAAACCATCCAATATAAAACACTTAAAAAAAAATTACAGCGAGGATGGAAGCAGCAGCGTGCTAGGAAAAATCTATCTACTTGACTTTTCTCACACACCACATTTTTACATGGTGGAGATTAGCTCTCATATTTACTTGGTGTAGATTAACTCTCACGTGCTAGTACAACCTCACTGTGGTGGCGTGATCTTATAAGATTTTTAACCAATTCGGTTGCTCCATGTGTCATTATCCGTTCAGAATACTTACGAATAGATTTTCAATGAGATTTTCAACCAATCACACTACGTAACATTATGCTTCTAACTTAGCCTTCGAATTTGCAGTATCCAATTATGCTAGGGCAGCACTCCATTTTACATATTTCGCATAACCCTAAATAAAAAAGTTAAAACCATTAACAACACACATTGTTTCTTAAGCTATGTTTGGAAGAGGGACTTTCAAAGTCTCAAGAAACTTTGGACTCTATTGTTACAAAAATGCTACTAGTGAACCACAAAGCAATTCTATAACAATACAAAGACACTAAGTCAAAGACTTTCAACCTTAAAACGTGTCATTTGAGAGTTCTTTCAAACGTGTACGTAGCATATATAGTCATTTTCAAAGTCCCTCCTAATTTTTGTAGTGCATTCCAAACTAATTTTAGCCTAGGAATCCAACTTCAATTTTTTAACAGTGGCAGAAAACTCTTTATTTGGTATTTGCTCGCGCAAATAAACTGTCTTCAGCTCCTTCAAATCAATTCAAAATTTGTACAATCTTTACATATCAAATCCAATACCCTTCCCGAATCCTACGAAAAACTAACAAGAAGGGCCTAGAGAAACAAGCCCAACCCACAAAATGTTGGGGCTGGTTCGGCTTCTTTTCAAAAAACTCGATCGTTGGCGACCCGGCGATTCCAACCAACTGAACCAGTTGAACCGCCAAGCCTGACATTTGACCACCATCCCCATTTTCTACTTGATTCTCTCTCTCTAACTCTCAAATGTCCGAAGTACCCAATTCCTAACGAACATCATCAGAACGACGAGGTTGATCTCAAATGGACATACTCTTCGCCCAGATTCAAGCGGACCTCCGCTCCAACGACGCCCTCCGCCAGTCCGGCGCACTTCTCCAGGCTCTCCAGCAATCCGCCGCCGGCCGCGACATCTCCGTCATCGCCAAGACCGCCGTCGAAGAGATCGTCGCCTCCCCCTCCTCCGCCGTCTCCAAAAAACTCGCCTTTGACCTCATTCGTTCCACCCGCCTCACTGCCGACCTCTGGGACACCGTCTGCACGGGAGTTCTCACCGATCTCGACTTCCCCGATCCCGACGTCAGCGCTGCCGCTGTCTCCATCCTCGCCGCAATCCCTTCCTACCGCCTCTCCAAGCTCATTACCGACGCTCAGAAGGAAATCAACAGTTGCTTCGATTCGCCTAGCGACAATCTCCGGTTCTCCATTACTGAAACTCTCGGATGCATTCTGGCGCGCGATGACCTCGTCACGCTCTGTGAAAACAATGTCAATTTGCTCGACAAGGTGTCGAATTGGTGGTCCCGCATTGGCCAGAACATGCTCGACGGATCCGACGCCGTTTCAAAGGTCGCGTTCGAGTCGGTGGGGCGGTTGTTTCAGGAGTTCGATTCCAAGAGGATGAGCAGACTGGCTGGTGATAAGTTAGTGGACAGTGAGAACTCGCTGGCGATTCGATCCAATTGGGTATCGTCGATGGTCGACTTCGTGTGGAAGAAGCGGAGTGCGTTAATGGCCAGGTCGTTGGTTCTACCGGTGGAGAGTATCCGGGCCACAGTGTTTCCGATCGTGTACGCGGTCAAGGCCATGGCTTCAGGTTCAGTGGAGGTCATAAGGAAGCTGTCAAAGTCGTCCAAGGGCTCCAATGGGACGGTTGTGGATACCAATGCGGAGAGGTTGGTGGGAGTTTCGGATGTGGTCACGCATTTGGTGCCATTCTTGGCCTCGTCATTGGATCCGGCTTTGATTTTCGAAGTTGGGATTGATATGCTGTATCTGGCTGATGTGCCTGGTGGGAAGCCTGAGTGGGCTTCACAGTCGATGATCGCAATTCTCACACTTTGGGATAGGCAAGAGTTTGCTTCTGCAAGAGAGAGTATTGTTAGAGCTGTGGTTACCAATCTGCACCTGCTTGATCTTCATATGCAGGTAAATATGGTTACTTCCTTTTAGCTTGCTATAACGTGCAGTATGCATCATTTGGTTCGTTATTTTAATTCGCCTGAGTTCTAGTTTTAAGGAAAGGAATTGTTTGTATTTAGGTTTCGTTGTTTAAGAGGCTGCTTCTTATGGTGAGAAATTTGAGGGCAGAATCAGATCGTATGCATGCTTTAGCTTGTATTTGTCGAACAGCGCTTTGTGTTGATCTCTTTGCAAAGGAGAGCGTCCGAAGAGGCCAGAAACCTCTTGCCGGAACTGATATAGCTTCACTTTTTGAGGATGCAAGAATCAAAGATGATCTTAATAGTGTTACAAGCAAGACCTTATTTAGGGAGGAGTTAGTGGCATCATTAGTTGAAAGTTGTTTTCAGTTGTCTCTGCCTTTGCCTGAACAAAAGAACACAGGGATGGAGAGCAGGGTTATAGGAGCCTTGGCATATGGAACTGGTTATGGTGCACTAAATTGGACAGAGCCTGCTTTGGAAGTGGTGGAGGTTTGCCGGCCTTGTGTCAAATGGGATTGTGATGGCCGGACCTATGCAATTGATTGCTATTTGAAGTTGCTTGTGAGGCTTTGTCATATTTATGATACTAGGGGAGGTGTAAAAAGAGTTAAAGATGGGGCTTCACAGGACCAAATTTTAAATGAGACAAGATTGCAGAATTTGCAACGTGAACTTGTGAAAGATCTACGCGAGGTATGCACACTCTTCTTTTATTAATATGGTTTAACATTTTAGCTTTGCATATACATTGTAGGCAAGGACCATTACTGAATCATATTATACATTATGATGGAACTGTTTATGTAGACCATTTATGAGTTTCATTGCATTGATGTGATTTTTTTTTTTTTTGGTCAAGCGTTGCATTAATATGATATGTTAATAGAATTTGATAGTTGGTAGCACTAGAAGTATCAAAGGAACTTTCAATATGTTACTGAATATATGAACCTTTGGAAATGGACTTCTAGACAGCTAGCTGTTGAATCAGAACTTCAATATAGAAACAGGCTTCTGGTGGTGGATAAACATAAAATCCAAAGTAGTTTTCTTCTTCCTTTCATAGACCTCACAAACTCGAACATAGTTATTTCTAGAAACAAGTCGATTTTCATTGCACTAGGGTGCATTATATAGCATAGCATTCCACTGCCGAAGGAATGAAGTTATAAAGTAACAAGAAACTGAGGCAATCTGGTATCAGCAAATGGACATTTTAATGTCAGCAGATTGTTTACATCTCAGTGAATTGAATGTATAAATTTGACAATTTCTACATCTGAATTCCTCTATCCAAGTGATATTTGGGACTGGAAAGAGACTGCAATATACTTTCTTTTTTTGAGCTAGAGAACAGTCAAAACTCCCTACCTTTCACATAACCAGTATTTTGTGCCAGCTGAGGAAAAAAAAAGAAAAACACTGTATTTGATATTGTCTCACAGACTCCAAGTTTTGAAAGATCATAACAAATGGGCTAGACACCAACCTTTCTATATCCTGATTACCGGCAGTTACTGTGGAAGTTTCCAAGTTTCATTCTTTTATGACTACTGCCTCCCATATTATTTTCTTGCTTGTTTTCTCGTTTTTCACTTCTTTATTTCTTTGTAGTACTAGAACTTCCAAAGTTCCAAGCTAATTATGCTCTTTTATCTCTTGTTTTGACAACTGGCTGAATTCGTGTATTTTTTTCTCCTACTTGTTATCTTGCACCTCTGTCAATTTTACAGGTACATACCCCAAGAATATGTGCTCGCCTTATTTGGGCTATTTCAGAGCACATAGATCTAGAAGGTCTGGACCCACTTCTTGCTGATGATCCTGAGGATCCATTGAACATGATTATTTCGAACATCCACAAGGTTTTGTTCAATATAGATTCATCTGCTGATTCAGCAAACAGGCTTCTAGATGTTCAGGCAGTTCTTTTATGTGCTCAGCGGTTGGGATCACGCAACCCAAGGGCTGGGCAATTACTGACTAAAGAACTTGAAGAGTTCAGGAATAGTAGTACTGCGGACTCTGTTAACAAGCATCAGTGCCGTTTGATATTGCAGAGAATCAAGTATGTTACAAGTCATCCAGAAAGCAGGTGAGCATATTATATATTTTTGTGAACCTGTGATGGTCAGCCATGTGCCATAGAGTTTGGGTGGTCTGTATCGAATTTTTAATGAAATTTCTTGTTACACCAATATATGCTTATAGTAATTTACATCCATGTTGTCTACTTTCAAGAGGTGTTCTTCCCCCCATGTGGTCTGATGCTATTTTATGTGGTGATTACCATGATTTGCATTCTATGATGGGTTATCTTATCTCTTCTATGTCTTCATCTGTGTTGACTTATATCGAATATCCACAAGGTTCTGATTGCTGGATCCAGATATTAGAAAGAAAATCTGTGTAGATATAGATTTTCAGCCTATGTCAAAAGACTCAAAACTTACTTGATCAGGAAGGAGAGAATGACTTAGATCAAAGTGGAAGCACGTCTCTTCAGTACGAAATTACACTACCATTGTCTAATGCATATATATGCATGAACAAATATATACATCACATATGCGTGGCATATATAACAACATGACATGAATATTGAATTGTGTTTTTATGTTTTCCTCGCTTTAAAGAAACATGTTATTACTGCAGAGGTGATTATGCATTTCTACACGCAAAGTAAAACAGTGATAATTGTTTTACAGGTGGGCAGGGGTGAGTGAAGCCAGAGGTGATTACCCATTTAGCCACCATAAACTAACTGTCCAGTTCTACGAAGCAGCTGCAGCTCAGGATAGAAAGTTAGAAGGATTGGTTCATAAGGCTATTCTAGAACTTTGGAGGCCGGATCCTAGTGAACTAACCCTTCTTCTGACTAAAGGAGTTGATTCCACCTTACTCAAAGTTCCTCCCAGTGCAATTACTTTGACTGGTAGCAGTGATCCCTGCTACATCGAAGCATATCATTTGGCAGATTCTAGTGATGGAAGGATATCTCTCCACTTGAAGGTTAAATTTGCATCTTACCTTTTTTAAGTGTCCATTAAATGGCCTCTATGTTCTTGGCAGACTCCAGTTTCCTGTTTCTGTTAATAGTTCTTATTCCTTATTGTTGAACGTGCAGGTCTTAAATTTAACTGAGCTTGAGCTCAACCGGGTTGATATTCGAGTTGGGTTATCTGGTGCATTATATTTTATGGATGGGTCTCCTCAAGCAGTACGGCAATTGCGTAGCCTTGTTTCACAGGTTTCCTTTCTACCTCTATAATGAATTCATTCTTTGTCCTCTTTTCCTTGTCTTCTTTTGCAATGCATCTTGTTTTTGGTTGTAATCTGCTAGTCAAGAATCACCATTCTTCTAAAATTGCATTCTAGAGTCAGTAATTGCCTTTAGAAAGTTAAACTGTTAGTCTGTTAGTGTTTCTGGGAGGAGGATCTATAGCTTCTTGTATACAAATGTTTATCAGTTTATGTCTCAAAGAGTGAAATTGATATCCTTATCTTGCCCTTTGTCTTGGTATATTGCTTGACTCAGTGGGATGTCCTTTTTCTTCAGTCACCCTTGCTAATGTTTTCCCTAATTTCTGTCAATCTATGAAGCTTTGTTCTGTATAGTATGTGCTCTCTGCCATCTCTCCCCCTCTCCTGTTTCTGGACAAATATTTCGGGCTGGAGAATGGCTTTAGGATGTTAATATTCATGTGATGTAGTACATAGGTGAACACGATATGCTGTTTGACATTAGTGTTCAAGTATCATTGGGCTCTCGTTGTTTTTTCTTTAATTTTATGTATTTTGTTTGCACTTTTGTCTTCCGTGTTATAATTTTCTCTTTGACAATCAGATGTTCTGATTTTACTTGTTTTTCTTGTTGCTAGGATCCAGTACTTTGCAGCGTAACTGTGGGTGTTTCCCATTTTGAAAGGTGTGCCCTTTGGGTTCAAGTCTTATACTACCCCTTTTATGGAAGTGCTGCTATAGAATATGAAGGTGACTACACTGAAGAAGATCCGCAAATCATGAGACAAAAGAGAAGTTTAAGGCCAGAACTGGGAGAACCTGTCATTTTAAGGTGTCAACCTTACAAAATTCCGCTGACCGAGCTTCTTTTGCCTCATAAGATCTCGCCCGTTGAATTTTTCCGCCTATGGCCCAGTTTACCAGCCATAGTAGAGTACACTGGTACATATACTTATGAAGGAAGTGGCTTCAAGGCTACCGCTGCACAGCAGTATGGGGCATCTCCTTTCCTGAGTGGGCTAAAATCCTTGTCATCCAAGCCATTCCACAGAGTTTGTTCACATGTTATCCGAACAGTGGCAGGATTTCAGGTATTGTCTCTCGCTCTCTACTACTATTTTATTTGCATCTCTCTTTTGTTATTCGTTGTTTGCTTCTATTATGGAAATTCTATAGACTGATTGCGAATGTAACCGGTAAGCCAAACTTGGCAAATCATGGCCTTACTTTTCCTGCTTGGAAAAGTAGAATTGGCAATCAAATTCGAGTAGAAATTATTTTCCAAGTATCCTTGATTTTCATCGAAATTAAGCTACTGGTATTTGGCTAGATGTTATTTTGGTAAAATTATTCAATGGTAGTGCTTTTGGCCTTCTAATCAACCACACAATATCATGTTGAATTCTTTGTCCCGAGACAGCTGTGCTTTGCTGCAAAAACCTGGTATGGTGGCTTCTTGGGCCTGATGATCTTTGGAGCCAGTGAAGTGAGCCGAAACGTTGACCTGGGCGATGAGACTACGACCATGATATGCAAATTTGTGGTTCGAGCTTCTGATGCATCGATTACAAAGGAGATAGGATCAGATCTACAGGGCTGGTTGGATGACCTCACAGATGGGGGTGTTGAGTACATGCCTGAAGACGAAGTGAAGGTGGCAGCTGCCGAGAGGCTTAGGATCTCGATGGAACGGATAGCTTTGCTAAAGGCAGCCCAACCTAAGAAAAAGATTCCGAAATCTGATGATGATGATGACGACGAAGAAGAAGAGGACGACGAAAGCGATGAAGGCGACGAGGGTAAAATGAAGAAAAAGAAGGAAAAGAAAAAAGATGGCGAGGAAAATGGGAAACCAAAGGGACCTACAACCCTGTCAAAGTTGACAGCAGAGGAGGCTGAACACCGTGCTCTTCAAACAGCAGTGCTTCAAGAGTGGCATGTGTTGTGTAAGGATAGAAGTGCTAAAGTTAATTGACGGACCGACACAATCTTTTTCCAAGTGAAACCAACAGCCTGGAATTTCCTTCGCATTTCGCGGCTCAACGCGTATGGGATATCAATCAACAGAGTTAACTTTCCTCCATGCGGATTGCATCCAAATCCACCAGAGTCATGCGCTTGCACAAGTGAGTCTGGAGTGGTTAGTGAAGGGGGAGCTACTTGCGGGGGTTGTGACAACTAACCATGTGTGTAACTCCAAGGTTTTTGAGTGCTTGGCAGACGCTTGCGATTTCCACGGGATTTCTTCGCTTTCGACTAAATTCAATGGTCACTTGGCCAGGTCTCGTGTGCTTCATCACACCTTCAATCCCGGCCCGAGCATTAACAGAGGCATTCAAGTAGATGTAGACGTTAAATTTTAGGAAATCAATTGGTTTTTTTTTTTGTGTGAAAATTGTAACTATTAAACCGGGGTTTGTCTCTCTTCCCCCCTAATCTGTTGTTTTATTTTATTTTTTTCTGTTTCTTGGCCCATTACTCATATCGAATTATACAGGAGAGGAGAGAGGTTGAGTTCTTCATATTGTAAAACGACGTTTGTAAAATTTGAGAGTTATGTATTTTCGTTCATACCATGCATTCTAATTGATTCTTGATTCCGTTGTAAATCGAGATTTGAAGTAAATTGAAAATCCCAAAATATAATTTATAAATCGTTGGACTCCGCGAGGTTCTTGTAAATAAAACGAGAACCACCAAAACTTTCAGTGTATTGAGACATATTAATCTCATCGTCTGCATATATATATATATAACACGATGAATGGTTACACCACGTAGAGATGTTTATGATACCAAAATATTGCCAAGAACCACGCACATTTTGGAATAAAATGCAAATGAAACTATTTGGGTTTGGGGAAATTAAATAATGGGCCGAAACAAAAACCTAACGGTCGGCCTGGTTTGATTTAATGCAAATAAGCCCAATAACAAAGTTGGCACGATGGTTTCTCATTTTCAGCAAGGTTTAAAGCTTTAAATTAAGGAAATTTTAACAAAAAGTTTCAAATTAACGAAAAGTTTCCACTCCTGTTTACTTTAACGAAAAATCACATTTTTATATTAAAATGTCAATTTCGGTACTATTTATTATCCTTTATTTTATCTTTATCGTTAAAACTTAAAGTTTTCAAATTATTCTTATTAGTTTTCTTTTAAATTAAAGCAAAGGTGGATTCATACTGTTAATATGACTGATTCAACTGTGACGATGGCTGATTCATATGCATCTTTCATTTTTGGCCGAGTCAATGCTTACGAGTCATGAGGAGAAAATAGAGATAAAGGGAGGAGCTTTGTCAAAGTTTTAACCAGTCAAGTAGCGCGAGTTTTCAACCACTGCAGCCTTGTTTGGCGGGCTGGATGATAGGCTGCTCGCTATGAGCATTAAAATAGATTTAAGTTCAGTTTATTGTTTATTTTGTTTATATTTGAGACGAATAAAATTAGACATAGTGAGTTATGAGTCCACAATAGTGTTTTCTCTAACATATTCTTATAGATGGATTACAAGTTCTATCTTACAAGTTTCTGTTAATCCAATCATATTCCTAAAGTTCAATCTTATCCAGCTCACCAAACAAGCCATACAATGTCACAATTTCAAAAGAAAAAAAAATTACAAGACGTGCCACAAAACAATGCATCCGCTCTTTGCGCTCAAATTTGAATGATTTTCTGCATATATTAAAGCCGTTTAAAATATTGCAGTGTCAGAAAAAATAAAATAGCTATTCATAATTGTACCAAGTACCAAGACCGTTTATGGTACTGGGGTGAGCAGTGTGCAAGTACGAAGAGATTTATGTTGAATTGGTTAGAAGTGTACTACAAACATTTGGTAGAGAGATTTGAAATGGACAAGGTTGTCTGTCCTCCACTTCCGGTGGCCTTCCTGTACTTTTTTGTTTGTGCGGTCACGGTTAAATCACGTCAATATTTTATATTATTATTCATTTTTATCTTATTATATTTATAAATAAATAATATAAAATATTGACGTGACTTAACTGTGACCACACAAAATAAGAGGGCACAAAAAAGACATCGAAAATGGAGGGCAGACAATCCTTGTCCATTTGAGATGACCAAACACAATACCGTCATCTGTGAATCATTTGTTTATATATTTATATTGCTCTTGAGCTGCATTTCAGCTCCCTGTCTAATTCGTTTCTAACTAATTTATTCTAAAACCCTTAGTATTTGCAAATCTCCCTTACATGTGGTGGACTGGATGAGATATGTTGTGATAAATTAAAAATGGACTTATCCGGTTCGTTGTTTGTTGTGTCAAATATGAGATAAACATGACTGAACATGATGAGTTATGAGTACACAATAGAGCATTTTATCTAATATATTCTTATACATAGATTACCAGTTCTGTCTTACAAGTGCCTACTAATCTAATTATATCGTAAACCCTAATCTCATCCAGCCTACTAAACGAAAACCCAATAAGCCACTTGTGGGATTGGATGATGCTGGTTCACCAAGAAAAAGATTTACAAGGAATTAATGTTGCTATCAGGGTAATCATTTTCAAACCCAACTAACATCCACCAACAATGCAATTATGATTGTGGTCAATACAAAGACTATCAGTTTTTGAACATTCCAACCCCCCTCCCCTTCTTCCAAGCTGCTGCTGCTTTTGTCGTTTTTTTACGAATTCAACAACAAAAGCCATCATTTTTAATACAGTGCCTCAGCATATAGTGAAGAGATAAATAGAACCAAAATCTACAACTCCAACTGCTTGCTTTGTTTTGAACATAACAAAAGTCTACTATTCCAGCCATGAACATTATCAGCCTCATACTCTGCCTCGTTGTTTTGACGCTCCTTTTTCCCTTACCCTCCAATTCTGCTGATCCTGATCCATTACAAGACTTCTGCGTGGCGGATTTGAGCGCGTCCGAGGCAGTTAACGGCTTTCCCTGCAAACCCGTCTCGAAAGCTACTTCAGATGACTTTTTCTTTGATGGACTGAGCAAAAAAGGGAACACAAGCAATGTCTTTGCGGCGAAGGTAACATCTGCGAATGTCCTTACATTTCCTGGCCTCAATACTCTTGGGCTATCAATGAACAGGGTTGACTTTGCCCGCGGCGGTCTTAATCCGCCTCACTGGCACCCTCGTGCGAGTGAGACGGGCGTGGTCATCAAGGGGAAGCTCCTCGTAGGGTTTGTGACAACGAGAAACGTGTACTACTCCAAGGTTTTGAGTGCTGGGCAGATGTTTGTGATTCCACGAGGACTCGTTCACTTTCAGCTCAATGTTGGAGAAGGTAAGGCTCTGGCCTTCACAGCTTTCAACAGTCACTTGCCTGGTTCTGTTGTACTGCCTTTAAATCTGTTCGCTTCGACGCCTTTGGTCCCCGACCAAGTGTTAACTAAGGCCTTCCAAGTAGATGAAGATGTCATCAACGGCATTCGATCCAAGTTTGGGGTTTAAAATACTGTGAAGTTAATTTGGTATTGGTTTTTGTTTTGGTTCTCTCTTCCCCTGCTTTCTGCTTTCTTTGTTGTTGTTTATGTGCATCGATATGTTTCTAGGTCAGTTGGTCACCAACGGATCATACAGTAACTGGTTTCACTTGTTCATATTCTACTTAAGCTGAATACTAAAACTTTCACTTTCGTTCGAGGTGTGCCACCGATGGGTGTAATTAGGCGTCTCCGGCCATGACACCATGCGCCGAGGGAGGCGAAGGAGCTGAGTTTTTTTTCTTTTGAGTTTTTAAGATACAAAATTATACCTGAATTTTTCCATTGAATCTGAACCAAAAGTTCGTGAAACGAAGAAATATCATGTAAAAACAATCGGATATATTATAAATAAAATCTCGAAAGCAAGCACAAGACTTCTGTTACACGTTTGAACGAAGCTGTTCTAACATATTTTCTACGGGACTAATACAACAAAGTAGAGTATAATATTATCTAGTCAGATGATACGTACGACAATTAGATGCATCTCCTACGGAATAATCACATCTACCACCAATTACGACTTGAAGAATTATCACCTGAAGTTACGTTGCTCTTTCGAAACTACCACCAACCTGCATATGTAGCCATTCGGGCTGTGAGCTTTGGGCGTATTCCCTTGGTGTGTGCAAGCTGAACAACAACCCCGCAGCATCAAATGGCTGTGCACCAAGCTGAAACACCAGGTCAACCCGTAAGAAACTCATATAGCATATACCTAGAACATAGTTATCGTTCCGTGCATGGAAAGAAACTTTATTCATCAATGACCAACTTATTCAAGCGATGAGATAGTAAATCATTGCAATATGAGTTAAAGGGATGAGAATATACAGAAAAGGGACTGTGATCCGGAGAATTAGGAGGCAGCATAATGGTGATAGCCTTTATATTCGAAATGGGAAACGAAATCAGTACTTTATACTTCAAGGGAAATCAAGGAGTAAGAAAATATGTCATCACAAATAATACAAGAGATTTCCAGGAATCTTTATGCATATAGCATGGGTTAGGTTATGGAAAACGATGAGCCTAGAAGTGCCTTGCTCTCTGTTCATTCCCTTAGCAATGCAATAAGAAACGCACAAATACAAATCTTGGAAAACCAAGAGCAACACTGGTGTCCAGTGGCCAACTTTACGACAAGCACACTCCTTGGTTGACAGACATTTACATTCCTAGATGCATCCCTACGATTGATTGATAAGTTGTACAAAAATAATTCCCTAGGCAAAGGTTTAAGATTGACAAGTTGTACCAAAAAATCCCGAGACAAAGGTTTACATTCTAAAAAGCAGTAGTGTCTTCAGAAATCTATTGAACCGGAAATAACAAAGCATCTCAAGGATTATATATTGGAAAATAGTTCCAAAAAGAGTAGGTCCATGGGTTTTATGAAGGTAATAGAAGTGCAGAGTACTTACATCTTTTGGAGGAAATGCTTCAATTGTGGGATTCATGTTCATCCTTGAATTGACTGCTTCCAGCTTCATCGAAAGGAACTACAGAGTAGAATAACCAGATTACAGTCTTAGGTTAATCAGTTTAAAGCAAAACCGTGTAACCAAGTAGCACAAGATAGAGTCAGAAGGAATAGATACCTCGACCTGGTGCTGCAGTGATTGGATGTAATTAATAATCTCATCAAGGACGAGTGCTTTCCCAATAACCTTTTCAGAAGAAAAGTACAACATGCGTAAGGGAAACATACTTGGTGAAACAAAATTGATTTCAGAATTCAGATCACTAGATAATTACCCAAGATGTTTAGAATAAATCTAGTAATGAAATTGGAAACAACACATTACATAAGAAAGATTTCCTATACTAACTACGTCGATCATATGCTAAGTAAATATTATGACTAACATAAAGACAACTAAACAACATCGAATACCTTATTGCATCCGGGAACCAAATCTTGGAGAACTTTCATCCTTTCGCTGATCTTCTCTCTCCTAGCCTGCCAAAACAGGTGTGGTACGCACACGTTGAAAGAGTGAATGAATCACACTGATTTACCGAACATGTCAATAAAACAGAAACCTATTCCCTATTGAGATCTACAGAGCT